TGTGTGTGTGAGAGTCGCTCTGCAAGAAATCAGGAACAAAGACATATCAGCACACTGCGAATACTGAACAGCAATATCTGCAACAGTTCTTTCTTCTTGCTCTCCTATAAAGGACAGATATGTGGAGGACACGCTGCTAGTCGTCCTGTGGACAGATTGTCCCCATCAGCTGTGGATCTGTTAGACTTCTAGTGAAAGACAAACTTTTTTTTTCCTTCTTTAAACGATGTTAACGTGTGAAGAGACGTCATTTTAAATGCTCGTCCTGTTTTACAAGATAAATGTCATCTCTCGTCTTCCAGCAGATGGAGCTGTGGTGTTTCTCCTCTTGATCTCCTTCAGAGTCCAGAAGTCAGTAAAACACAGACCAGTAAGGTGACCTGTAGCTGTCCTGATGGAAACACTGTGGTTACCATGGTAACATGGGGAAGCTTTCTCCTGATGGGATGCTTCACTTCACCATGTGATCAGTTAGTAAAAGCTCGACTACAACCTGCTGATTAATTAGTGTTCAGTTTTTCTCTCAAGAAACAAACACATTCAAACACATAAAAAGTGACTACATGTCTTCAAAGCAGATGAAGAAGTGAACATGAAGCTTTGTGGACTTAAAGGATTGAAGAGGCAGGTGAGACAAACAGAGTCTCTCAGGTGTGTTTCAGGAACAAAGGCCCAGGTGAGCATTGTGGTCCCTGCTGGGTCCTAGTGCCCCTCCGTCTGCTACCTTCCCCTCCTCATCAGTAACAGTCCTCACAGACCCCAGATCAGACTGAGCTCCTCTTCTTCATCACAGCGTCATCATTCAGACTAACAGCAGCTCCTCTCTGCCTGCTCACACAGGCGCCATCTTGTTTCCCAGCTTTAAACAATCACACCTTCACAACCTTCAATGATGTCATTCAACCAATCACAGCTGCACTTACTGAGCTCGTAGACATGAACTTCCTCAGTGAGCAGCTCTCTTCTGTCCTCAGCAGGTCCGTGTAGAAAAGGAGCTCCGTGCTTCACTTCAGCTTCCATCAGACGGAGTGGAGTGACGCAGCTGAGAGTGTTTTTATTCACTCCTCTTTGATGATCAGGTTGAACCTGTCGGGGCGGAACAACTCACCCACGTATCAGTGTTAAGCCGCGTGTTAAACCATTTACCTTTATGACAAACTGCAGCTTCCTCAAGTACATGTTGTTACATGCAGCATTCTACTCCTTCACCACGTGGCACCTTGAACCCTCTGAATATATCTGCTCTGCAAAGGATTGTGGGTAAGAACAACCAGTAAGGAAGCCTGCTTGTGTAGGGTAGGAAAGGTGGGCACTGCCTAACCTGCCAAAATTCAAACATAAAAGCATTTCAATGAAAAAAAAAAAGTTTATTTATTGCTTCTAGGACCCTGAAGCGAGCAAAAAAGATTATAGCCGACCCCTCCACTGCTGGCCGACCTTTGACCTCCCACGTTTCTTGGCACTGAGACTCGTTCTCCTTCCTCTCAGATCGCAGAGGGCCTCCTCTCCGTCCGCCTGCTAAAGGAAACTACAGAAAGGAACTGGAATTGCGTGTGTGTGTGTGTGTGTGTGTGTGTGTGCTGGTGGCGGTGTGGAACCAGAGAGGAAGCCGTAACAAGTTCAGGAAGCGAGGAGTTTATCACCCCGCCGAGCACGAGAGCTGGGAGGACATCCGAGAAAACATCCTGAACTACAACGAGGAGGGGGGAGGACCATGCGCACACACACACACACACACACACACACACACACACACACACACAGTGAGGACCATGTCGTTACTAACGGCTTACGATTACAAATAAAACCAGAACATTATCTCAATCAGGTCGTTTCTATGTGGAAACCTGCATTCATTTTATTTCAACCCAAGGCGATCTTACCTCAACCTAACTATTTCATCATCTTTGTTACACATAACTAAGTTGTTTCTTTTAAAGACACCGTTATTGTTGGAATGCATTAAGCATTCGAGTATTGTTCTTGGAATCTTTATTCCAACATCTTCTATTTCTTCCGTGCAACCTTTCAACTCTTCACACTTTGAGCTGTTAAAACTATTCAAATATTAAAATGTTCAGCTCATTCAGGAGAGGGGGGCTATGACTTTTCAGCTTTCTACCTCTTAAGATTGAATTTATATAAATCAATAATCATCAATATTTTAACATGGTTTTCAAATGGAGTTGGTTTTCAAATCCTCTTAAACTTCTTCAACTTTCAGATATTTCAGCTCTGCCAATCTTACAGTTCCAGACACCATTTCAATTTTCAAATGTTGACACAAGTCTTAACTCTTTTATGAAAAAAACTGCTTGTTGATATCTATTGTACTTTTTTCATAATCACTGATTATGTTTCACTAGTTATCCGCTCCGTTTCTGAGTTTCAGATGAGTGTGTATTGCGTTTCTCAGAGTGAGACATCGAGGACTAGAGTGTGGGGCAGCGTCAGAATCTGGTTAAAAAATATGGAACGTCTGTCCTCAGAGCCAAAGTATACACTTCTGAGGCTTAATTTCTTTGGATGATGGCATGGTTGTGCTGATTGGATACATGTGACTATGGAATCCCAGAGTTCTTTAGTTTTGGATTCAGGAGACCAACAGTCACACAACCTCTGCCAAAAGAAATCTAGAAATATAAAGAAAAAAATCTGCCGACATATTTCTCCAAAAATCCAGAAGGTACACGTTTTGTAAACGGCCACGGGAGCCGTATTTATTACCGGAATTAAAACTTTGACCCCCCCTTCCTCTCTGACTTAAAATGCAGCTGAAAGATACTCATGCTATGGTTGGGGACAGCTGTGTTTCCCTTTGTGGTGAATAATAGCAGTCGTACAGAAAGCAGGGAACGAGATGCTGATGTTAAGGGTGATTCACACTGTCTGAGCGACAGCATTTTCACACATGAACCGAGGAGATCTGTGATAAGATCGCAAGTTGCACTAAAATAAACTCACTGATCTTATCACAACGAGAAGAACTGTTTGCGGTGTAACTTCTTGCAGGGGAGCGCAGAATGACTGCACATCATCAGAAATGAACAACCAAAAAGCACTGAAGGGTGGTAAAGACTGAAGCACGTTTAGAAAAAGGTAATGATACAACCAACAGGTCCCAGCTATTAAATCCAGGTAAACAGCCTGTTAAAGTGTGTTCAGTGTCAGAGGGGATGTGTGAGGAAAGTAGGAATCAATGATAAATGACTTGTATTGTGATTTTCTAGTTTTCCGACCCCTCAAAGCGCTTTAATACTACATGACAGCCTGCTCGGGAAACTCACCTCGGCCGCTTGTATCCGCGACCTTGCTCTCTCGTCACGACACAGAATATGTGACCATGGGTGAGACAGTCTGAGCGCAGACCGCACGGTAAATTTTCCTGTTGATCTTATTACATTACATTAGATGTCCATTGAAGATGTGAAGGCTCTCTGTGGTCCTGGGGTCTTCAGAGAGCTCGTTCCACCATTTCGGAGCAAGGACAGCAAAGAGTCGTGATCTAGTCGAGTGTTTTGCTCTCAGTGAGGAGGAACAAGCAGTTTTGCAGATGCAGAGCGGAGAGTGCGGGTAGGGATGTCGGGTTTCACCAGGTCCTGGATGTAAGCTGGACCCCATCCATTCACCCAATGGTACGTGAGCACCAAGACCAGTTAAGCTGCTGCATTCTGGATGAGCTACAGAGGTTGAATGGCGGTGGCAGGGAGACCTGCCAGGAGGGAGTTGCAGTAGTCCAGGCGGGGGATGACAAGAGCCTGAATCAGTACCTGCCCTGCCTTCTGAGTGAGAAGGGGACGTATTCTCCTGATGTTGTAGAGCGTGTATCTACAGGATCGCGTTGCAGGATCGCAGTGATGTTGGGAGTCAGGGAGAGTTGGCTGTCGAGTGCGACGCCGAGGTTCTTAGCGGTCAAAGTGGGCGTTAGTACGGAGTTCCCAAAGTTGACTGTCAGGTCCTGGGTAAGCGAATCTTTTCCGGGAAAGAGAAGTAGTTCAGTCTTGTCGGGGTTGATTTTCAGATGGTGGGCGGACATCCACTGAAAGATGTCAGTTAGACAGGCAGAGATCCGAGCCGCCACCTGGGTGTCCGAGTGAGGGAAGGAGAGAATTAGTTGGGTGTCATCGGCATAGCTGTGGTAAGAGAAGCCATGCGAGCGAATGACAGCGCCAAGAGAGTTAGTGTAAAGCGAAAACAGGAAGGGACCCAGCACGGAACCTTGAGGAACTCCATTCAAAGAATTCAGAGTCTTGATGAATGATCAAAGTTGCAAAATGTCCATTTATTGCTTCCAAGCAGGTGGTCAAATACACCAGCATGTATCACATGAGTTTTTATACACACATGAAGGCCATCCTCAGTGGCAGGTACGAGAAGTTGCAAACCAAGTTGAGATAAGAACCAAGGTTAAGATGAGGGTAGCACACGCAGTTCCATTGTTAGAAACATAATAAAATAAAAATGTCGAAACAAGTTCCCGCTGGCCTCCTGAGGGGGTTCCATGGGCGTTGTCGCGCCATGATGAGAAAACCACTCAGGTAGCTGACTACAGGATCACAAAAAGATACTTAGATAAAATGAAACTGAAGCAATCAATCATATGAATAAAACCGTGGAGACACAAACGACTTCTGTGTCTACATGGAGTGGTCCTGGCCGCGTTCCTCTTCTCGCGTTGGTCCGTGGGTACACGTTGGGAGTCTGCCAACCTTCTTTCTTGTGAGGCATCCGCATTGTAGACAGTCAACACAGATCACAATGCACTGTGCATCTGTCGGTCAACTGCCTGTTTGTGAACCCGTCCGTGGTCACTGCAACGGTGGGGTCGGTTGATTGACACTGGTTGTGAGGGTAAGCTCGCCTGAGCCTACTATCACTGGATCTGGAACCTTCTTACAATGGGACGCGTGGACCCAAGTTTCCCTCTCAGCTACTTTGACAGCAGTTTGGGTGACAAGGAGGACCTGGAATTGTCCTGCCAGCGTCCTGCTTTCCAGTTCTTTCTCCTGAAGTCTTTCACCACCACAAAGTCACCAGGTTTCAGTTTGTGGAGTCGGCCTTCAGCTGGTTTTGGGAGGGCGGCTGCAACCTGTTGTCGTATGTTAGACAGAGCAGAAGAGAGTTGTGCACAATATTTAAACATTTCATGTTCAGATAATGCGGCTGAAGGGAGCGGTGTCGTCGGTGCCTCGGTTCCTACGTGAGGAGGAAAACCAAATTATATCTCGAAGGGACTCAGGTTGCTTTGTGCTCGTTTTCTCATGCGCATGTACATCAGCACTAGAGGCTTTTGTCCAGGGCAGACCTGTGCCTCGTTCAACAGTCCCTCCACTGACTGGATGGTAAGCGCAGTGTGTTTTTAAATCAATACCCAGGTATGCGCTTTTCTGTAATGGCCTGGTTGACAAAATGAGAACCATTGTCACTTGATATTTTAGCCGGAATGCCCCATCGAGGGATGACTGTGGCTACTGTTGCAGCGGTTTGTTTACTTAATGGAAAAACCTGAACCCACTAGGAAAACATGTCTACCATCACTAGACAGTGTTTCTTACCTTCAGATGGAGACAACTCCACAAAATCCATCATAATGTGCTCAAATGGGCGGGTCGGTGGTGGGTGTGCAGCCTGGCTGGACACGCCCACGGGCCTGCCTACAATGTGAGTAGAACAGGTGACACATGCAGAACAAACGTTTTGTGCACATGCTGTGAACCCTTTTGTAAACCATGTTTCATTAAGTGCGCGTAACATTCCCCCTTTTGACACATGGTCTAACCCATGAGTCAACTTGAGCATAATGAGCAAAATAGTGTTTAGGTAAACACGGCTTGCCGTCGGGTCCAGTCCAGATACCGTTGGTGTAAACACAGCCGGATCTGGACCAAAGCCGTCTTTCATCAGGGGTAGAGAGTGACTGCATCGCTGTAAGAGAGGAGGGAACTGACTCCTCAGAGCACACGAGAGCACAGGTAGTGGGAAGCGGAAGCAGAGCAGCAGCTTTTGTTATGTTTGTTATGTTATTTTGTTGTGCGCTGAAAGATTTTTCCCGTGGATTAGGTTTGATAACGGTTGTTCCATTTGTGAGAAGTTTGGAAGAAAAGGACCAAAAAGGACATCCTCTGTTTTTTGGTGTTTGGTTTTGGTATTGATATGATCAAGGCAATTCTTTTTGGGGAGAGGGTTTTCCCTTCACCGAAAATGTCATGACCCAGGAAACGCACATTTAGAGACACAAATTGTAATTTAGAAAGGCTCCTTTGCTAAGTGCTGGAGTAGTTTAATCGTGTCTGTCTGACACTGCATTTGAGTAGGCTCTGCAATTAAACAGTCGGAAATATTGGTGTCCTGTCCGGTGAGTCTGGACATGGAACTATCACCCCTGCTTCTAGGAGCAAATTGAATACAGGTGTAATACCGTCAATGGCCTCTTGTCGCAGTCTACTAAAATTGTAAATTCTTTCCCTTCCACAATTACTCTTGTAGTTGGCATGTCTTTGTATGAATCTGATGTAAACATAGCATACGTGAGTGGCAGTGGTCTGGGTGTATTCTGTTGCTGTGGCTCTAAATGAGAAATAATGTCGAGCAAGGCAGCATGTTGTCGGTCTTCATTGCAGCATTGTGCCTGTGTGAGATGTGTGTGTGTGTGCCCGTGCGTGCATGCAGTTAGTGCAGAAAGCGTTTCTTCATTGCAGGCTGCGGTGTGTGTGTGTGTGTGTGTGTGTTTCACTTCCCTGCTTTGGAGAGGAAGCAGTCGGTCCTCCATCACACATGCGCTCTCCCTCCCCCACGCACTTCATGCCAAATTGTTGATCACCTCTGTCAGCAGCGGAGTAGCGCTGTCGTTCAGGTGGTTGACATGCCTGGTTGGAACGGTAGGGACACTCTTTGAACCAATGTCCTGTTTCGCCAGAGTTAAAGCATTCATCGCGTTGCGCCTCTCGTGGGGCCCATCCCTGGAAACGCCTTCTCCTCCGACGATTCAATCCCCAGCCTCGTCCTCTCTGTTGACCCCTCCCGTAAGAATGACGAAGTGGGTGGGGGTTTGGGCCTTCTTCCACACCCAAAGTCATGCTGCCTGTTGGATATCAGTCACTGTCGGTGGGCATCGTGGTGTCGCGTTCCGACACCACGACACCCATCTGGTGCCGGGACCTGAATCATGGGGGCCTGGATGAGGCCGCCGTCAGAATTACCATCCCTACTGTCCATATCAGACCATTGGCCGGCCAGGGGCTTTGGGGTAGATAGGGCTATGGGGTAATGCGAGAAGGGGTTGGTCGGGGACATTGGTGTTGCTGGACCGCCCTGGTTCTGGAGTCTGGTGACGCTGCGGGTCTGGTATGGAGGTGGTGGTTGACAAAGTCTCCCAGAAGAATGGAGGATGGTGGAGGAGGACTAAGGGGTTCGAGGAGGTTGGAGACTAAATGTGCGTTTTTGTCTCAAGACTAAAACTAAATCAAAAATAGCTGCCAAAATTAACACTGGAGCAAAGACGAAGATCAGCCAAAGGAACAGTCGGTGAGTGGCACAACGGTCTCTACTTGTAGTCACACAGAGGCTGGATGCATCCTTTCAATCCTACCTGTCAATGTGTATGAAGGGAAACCGAATTATACATACATACATGTATTCCTGGATCCAGAAGCACTGACACTTTCTGTTCTGAAAGTCTAATGGAAAGACTTTTTGAACAGCAGTTTTTATTTTCTATATTCAGGATGTTCAGGGACCAAAACCCTCGAAGCTCCACAAACAGGGAAGTTCACTGATACAACAACAAACATCTTGTAATTAGGGATCCATTGTAGTTTGTCCATCCCAGGAGTGGGATTCTCCTTTGACGTTCTCCCTCAGGTTTCTTCTTTTTTTCCGTCTTGGAAGGTTTTTTTTCATGTGCCGACGTGAGGGTTTCGGGTCAGAGGATGTCGTATGTGTACAGACTGTAAAGCCCTCTGAGGCAAATTTGTAATTTGCGATTTTGGGCTCTACAAAATAAAATGGATTGAATTGAATTATATTTTTGACCCAGCAGATTTTGTCACTTTTTTCTGTTAACCCATAATGAAGTCATAAAAAAACCAAACTTCATGAATGTTTTTGTGACAAAGAAGTATCTGGTCCAATCACTCTATCAGTGAAAAATCTGAGTTAAAGAAATAAGTGGAAACTCGAGAGCCATGACATGATGTTCTTTACAAGTTTATGGGAACTTTTGACCACAGCTATAGACTATGAATAAATGAACAAATACATGTAGCTGTAAAATGTTGGCCTATAATATAATGTGTGGTTGCTGTATTTGAGTCAACTTATGACCTAAATTTCCACCAAATGTGATTAAGGAATTCAATGACTGGGATGATACCTGTTGGTGTGTAGCTGATTACAAGCGAGGTGTAAAAAATCCTTTCCAGTGTAAGTACAATGAGAAGATAACAATATAAAAAACAGCAAACCTGCATTTAAAATGATATTGTTATGGAGATATTCTGACAAATGGAACTGAAATCAAATGCGTCTTCCATTTGATAAATGGAACACAACTTAATAAATAGACATTAATTCATCGTATTACCGGGTCAAAGACAGGCGTTGGTGTACTGAACGAATGCGCCGTGGAATCCAAAAGATGATCGGAGCAGTTCAACACGCTGCAGCACTGCAGTTTCGGCACGTGTATATTGTCTCAATGATAACCTTCTGTGGTTACTTCTCGCTATTCACTGCGTGAAATGATTCGTCCCTGATTGACAGACAGGCGATCTGTGGTTACGTGGACGCCACTGGCTCTGACTCGCTCGGTCTCTGTGCGTCTCCGCCAGCCTGTTGTGCTTTATTACTGTGAAGCTGGTGGGCTTCTTCCTTCCTTTGTTTGCGGCCCACAAGCTGGGTGTTACACTGCAAATTCATTCAGCAAAAAAAGTCAACTTGGATTTGTGAAGTATTGGAAGATTATGTAGCTATCTGACATCAAAAAAAGAGCAAATATGTATTTATTTGTTTGTTTCATTAATGCATGCATCGATACATTTTACAAAATGTTAATATGAAGAATAACGCAAAACAAGGGTTAATGGGTCAAATGGTTAACGGGTGTTTGAAAGTAAGCTGCAGAGCGATTGGACGAGGACGAACATCAGGAGGACGAGCGTCAGGAGGACGAGCACTAGCCCTCTATGACATTTTGCTTCTTGAAGGCTTTCTGAGCCCAGTTCACGTAGTGGCCCACGCAGAACTGCTTCCCTATGGCAGTTGTGACCCTGCAAAAAAACAAAGAAATCCATGGAAACAGTCATACATTCTTCCTTAAAATGTGATCATTATTCACTGCTGTGGTGATCTCGGGTGACAGAAAACAATGTCCAACATACACAAATGCCTTTACACCACAGCTGCGGTGGGTCTCGTTGACGGACACGATTTGTTTGTCCGGCACCCTTCCTGTAAAGAATGTAAAGCAGCACGACACAGGTGACATTTGTTCCACTGCCTGGGCTGCAAAGACAAGAGAAAACCAGGATTGGTGTCAGAACACATGGAGACACATTTAATCAGGCTGCAACTACATCCATATTTATTACTTTTAATATCACTGGGTAGACATCTAGGAATGTAAGTTACAACTATATACTATTCAAAAATAAGTTTGTATGTTTTTTATGTAATCGTCTGTTTAGGGAACGCTCTAAATTGCGTACTTTGACTTCACCTACAGTTAGAAAATTCAGTAACCCAAATGTATCTCAAAGAACTTGTTTAAGTCGTGATGCCAAAATAACTGTTTTTCTAAATAACGTTTCTCAGATTCATACAAAACCAAACACATTTCTACTAGTAAATTAGCTAAACATTTAAGCCATTTATCATATACACTAAATCTCGCTGTGGCGACATACCACTGAGGAACATGGCCACTCAGAGTTTGGGGGTTTTACCTATTTGGGTTATTATTATTATTTTCCCTTATGTATATTAAATAAAAAAGACGCAGCATATCTAAATAGTATTTTGATTTGATTTTGATTTGAAGATTTTTGATTTGAAGAATTTTATTTCTTGAATATGTAGACACCAAATAATAAAAAATTAAAAAATCAACATAGACGTAGACCACAAAATGAGAAAATACACCTTTTGTTCAAGGGGGGGGGGGGTTTTACCTATTTGGGTTATTATTATTATTTTCCCTTATGTATATTAAATAAAAAAGACGCAGCATATCTAAATAGTATTTATTTAATGTAATCTAATTAAATGTGATATATCTAATATTATATTGGGTGAATTTTTATATATATATATATATATAATATAAACTTTGACTTTAATAACTTTTTACTTGAAAGTGACATTAAAAGCAACGGATTTAGAATACAAATATATGACATCATTAATAAATAACAATGTAAATTGTTATTAAAATTACTGTTAACAGGATTAAAACCATTGGATAATTATCAACACTAAAATGCATTAATCAAATGATTCATCACCATGGGAAACAAAACAGAGTCAGGACTCACGCATGGCGATGCAGCAGTAGATGGAGACGGACAGCAGGAGTCCCACGGTGCAGCTCAGAGTCCTCATGGTGTCCTCGGGTACAAGTGATGATGCTCTTCTGTCAGCGTGTCCGTCCAGTCATCTGCTGAGTCGATCTCACTGACAGCGGCTCTTATCTCTTCATGAGTGGGTGTCTTTACAATTTTGGGTGACAGGAAGTCGCCCAAAGCTTCATCAAACAGCCACCAACACTTCATCGGCTGCTCTAATTGATCGGTTGCATTTTAAGTCACTTTCATTTCATTGTCAACGAGAGAAGCGAGCTGATACTATCAACACAGATGAGAAACAAATGGGATCTTGTCATTCTAAAAGGCATCACTGCTCATCAAGCAAAGTGCTGGTCGGGTTGACTGACAGATTGTGAAAGAACTTTGTACAGAGAACAATAAAAATGGTATAAAATTGTTAGAAAGCTGAGCAGAAGATTGATCAGTGAGAGAGAAAATGTTAAAGGGAATTAAGGGTTAGAAGTTAAAACAAGTAAAAAAGGGGAAGCATCATTCATGCCGGGAGTTACAAATTTGTAAAAGGGGGGTGGGCACCCCTCACTTTAAAAGACTGTTATAAAATAAGAGGTAATAGATTTCAAATGCATAGAAACTGATCAACAGAAATGGGATGCTGTAAAGATATACAGCATCCCATTTGCCACCTGTCCACCTGGGACATTTAAGGAAATGTTTGGGGCTGGACCCCCGTTAGTTTGGGGTTTAGCTTGGGTTAAGTTTGGGGGTTAGCTTGGGGTTTAGCTTGGGTTAAGTTTGGGGGTTAGCTTGGGTTAAGTTTGGGGGTTAGCTTGGGGTTTAGCTTGGGTTAAGTTTGGGGGTTAGCTTGGGGTTTAGCTTGGGTTAAGTTTGGGGGTTAGCTTGGGTTTAGTTTGGGGATAAGGGTAAAGGTTGCTGTAGTGGAAATGAGTGAATAATGTCCTTGGGAGAAATCAACAGTACCTTAACCTTGTTCAAGATGTTTGTTCAAATATAGAAAAAGAATACAGAAATCATCAAACACAAGCCATAAGTACAGATTCAATGACTCATTAGAAGGACGGCACCATACAACAGAAAGCATGTTAAAGGAATTAACACCTTGACCCCCCCCCTCCTGTCTGACTCAAACGTCAACGGAAAGATACTCATGCTATGGTTGGGGGCAGCTGTGTTTCCATTTATGGTAACACTGTGACCATCATGAATAATAGAAGTCGTACAGAAAGCAGGGAACGAGATGCTGATGTTAAGGGTGATTCACACTGTCTGAGCGACAGCATTTTCACACATGAACCGAGGAGATCTGTGATAAGATCGCAAGTTGCACTAAAATAAACTCACTGATCTTATCACAACGAGAAGAACTGTTTGCGGTGTAACTTCTTGCAGGGGAGCGCAGAATGACTGCACATCATCAGAAATGAACAACCAAAAAGCACTGAAGGGTGGTGAAGACTGAAGCCCATTTAGAAAAAGGTAATGATACAACCAACAGGTCCCAGCTATTAAATCCAGGTAAACAGCCTGTTAAAGTGTGTTCAGTGTCAGAGGGGATGTGTGAGGAAAGTAGGAATCAATGATAAATGACTTGTATTGTGGTTTTCTAGTCTTCCGACCCCTCAAAGTGCTTTAACACTACATGACACGCTGCTCGGGAAACTCACCTCGGCCGCTTGTATCCGCGACCTTGCTCTCTCGTCACGACACAGAATTTGTGACCATGGGTGAAGTTAGCGAAACCAGGGACCATAGTTAGCAAAACCAGGGACCATAGTTGCGTGTATACCGGGGGCCAGAGCGGGCGACATTGAGTCTTATCTTAAACTGCTGGCTAAGGATAAACTTAAATACAGTAAGATTGTAATACATGTCGGCGGTAATGACTCCCGATTACGTTGCTCGGAGGTCACTAAAGTTAATGTGGAATCGGTGTGTACATACGCTAAAACAATGTCGGACACCGTAGTTTTCTCTGGCCCTCCCAAACTTGACCAGCGACGACATGTACAGCCGCATGTCGTCATTCCGCCGCTGGTTGTCGAGGTGGTGCCCAGTAAATAATGTGGGCTTCGTTGATCACTGGAAGACGTTTTGGGGAGAGCCTGGTCTGATTAGGAGGGACGGCATCCATCCCACTTTGGACGGAGCTGAACTTTTTTCTAAGAACCTGACCCAGTTTCTTAGTGGACTTGATCCATGACCCAGAGTTCAGACCAGGGAGCAGAGTCGCAGTCTTACACACTTCTCTGCGCTTCAATCTGAGCAGTCACTCAGCATAATGAACCCTATAGAGACCTTGTCTGCCCCACGGACACACTTATCTAAGTTAAAGGTAAACAACCGAGGAGTTGTAGTAAATAACTTAATTAAAGTTAAAACTAATAATGCAACAGTGCAACAAAATAGGAGAATTAAAGGGGGTCTTTTGAATATCAGATCTCTGTCGTCTAAAGCTGTTTTAGTAAATTAATTAATATCAGATCACCATGTTGATGTATTTTGTCTTACTGAAACGTGGTTGTTGGATGAGGAATATTTCAGCTTAAATGAAGCGTCTCCTTCGAGTCATGTTAATACTCGAGGCACGGGCCGACAGCTATTTATGACTCCTGCCATTTAATAAACCGTGAACCTAAGGTGGATTATAACTCATTTGAAAGCCTGGTTTTCAGTCTCTCGCAACCGATCTGTAACGGAGGTGGGGAAGGCAGGACTCAAACGCAGAGTTTTGAGACACAAAAGAGGACTTTAATAGTCAAAAATCCCAAAACTCAAAAGGTCAAGGGGCAAAAACGCAGACATGGACTTCCGGACAATTAACAATGACAATAACTTGTTGTGACAAGTGACAAGAGACACACATGGCTTAAATACACTAGGGAGGTGCAGGTGATTGGACACAGGTGGAAACAATCATGACACAGCAGATCATCAAAGGGGATGACAGGACAAGGCAGGAGGTGAAGTTACCCAGGAAGACAAGAGGCAGAAAACTACATAATAAAACAGTACATGAACCCAAAACGTGACAGACCTCCCCCCTCAAGGGCTAAATTCCAGATGGCCCAACCTGGCAAAGAACAGACAAGGGGCAGGAGGGAGGGAAACCAGAGACGATTGTCGGACCGCCCGGGGAACTCTGGCTGGTCAGACGGTCCAGGCAGGCGGTCAGACGGCCGGGGAGCTCCCGGTGGGTCGGTCCGGAGGACGGTCAGCAGTCTGGCTCCGGAGTGCCGACTGCAGGGCTATGAAAGTCTCCGGAATCGCCGGCTGGGGAACGCGGGAAACCTCCGGCGTCGCTGGCTGGGGAATGAGGGAAACCTCCGGAGTCGCTGGCTAGGGAACGAGGGAAACCTCCGGAGTCGC